TGAAGCAAACGCATTATCTAGCGTCGGCTTTTGGACTGTGAGAAGATATGAAATTAGATCTTAAAGTTTTGGATTCGATGGTGAAGAAAGTAGGGCGGTGATGGCCGAATTGGTGAAGTAAATATCAAATTTGGAGGAGGATCAGAAAGAGATAAGGAGAGGGAGATTAGAGAAGTAGGCAAACCACTGTCGTCTCCCTCTCTCCTTGGAGAAAAATCTAGAGAGAAAAGAAAGAGAGTTTAGGGTGTGTTTGGTTTGTGTTTTGAGATAAATTTTTTAAAAAAAAAAAATTTAGGGAGAGAGTTTCTTGAGATACTACCATTTATGTTTGTATCTAAGAAGTCACCGGAAATAGGGAAAACCATTGAATCATTAGTACCAGTGGATAGATCTCCAAAGTGCTCGACACTGTTGTTATGTTGTAGTTGATCAAATTCCAATGATGTTGGCATTCCTTGAAATGTATTGCCATTTTGATTTCTGGGTAGTATAACTGGCTGAAACTTACTCTGAATCATTCCTGTCGAAGACAGGCCACATGAACCTAGAACAGCTGGAGTGTTCAGTCTACCCAACATTCCACTAGACGAGAACGACCCAACAGTAGCGTTCTGAAACTGTGTAGAACCAATCATGCTGTGATAATTTCCAAATCTGTTCAAAGAACTCATTTGCAGATAGGCAGAATCTACGCCGCCTAAAGCTGCAACTATATTAGCTTGCTGACTCGCTACACAGCTAATCCTTTTTAGGTAAAGCAGGTATTTCTTGAGATGGCTTGCCACATTTTCTCTAGTCAACTTCTCCACATTCATCATGTCTAGAATCCTTTTAGGTACGGCCTTGTCAATGCCCATTAACAGCTACAACAAATTTGCAGTGCAAGTCATAAAGCAAGGATACTCTTATAATAATGATGACTCCTTGGAAGATCTAGTGAGTGCAATGATGAAACAGGAAATATAAGAGATGAAGACTTCGGATGTGAAACACACTCACTTGGGACTTGCATATGAAGATATATATAAATATAGATGTTAGCTACTAACACCAAGCAAAATAGTGTTTGATGAGAGTTTATGCTATCAACTAATTTGTAGTTAATTTTCTCTTGATATGAAATCAGCAGATTTGCTGGACTGGATTTCATATTTGAATGAACCCCTCAATCCAAAAAAAAAACAGTCTTGAAACCTTGAAAACCCAAAAAGAATCGCTCTCTCAACTCTGCTTTTGCTTTAGTTTTAATCTCTCTCGATTCGGCAGTTGTTTCTACTGTGAAAATGATTGTCGATCAAAGTTTTGATGAACCTAATGATCGGTTTCCGATGGGGATGCGAGTCCTGGTGGTCGACGCTAACCCCATTTGCCTTAGGCTTTTGGAGACTCTGCTTCGTAAATGCCCGTACCATGTTATGACAACTAGTCAGGTGATCACAGCACTGAAGTTGTTGCGAGAAAACAAAAACAAGTTTGATTTGGTTATCAGCGATGTCCATATGCCCGACATGGACGGTTTCAAGCTGCTTGGGCTTATGGGGCTTGAAATGGACCTACCTGTCATAATGTTATCTGCAAATGGCGATACCAAGCTTGTCATGAAGGGCATCACCCATGGAGCTTGTGATTATTTGTTGAAACCTATCCGAATTGAGGAGCTAAAGAACATATGGCAACATGTAGTTAGGAGAAAGAAAAATGATCCCAAGGATCAAAACAATTTTGACAAACCTCATCATGAAAGTAAAGAAGGACAAGCGATCACAGTGACAGGGGATTCTGATCAGAATAGTAAGCTCAACAAAAAACGAAAAGACCAGAATAAAGACGAGGGTGATCATGCTGATGATGGACAAAATAACGAGGATCCATCAATGCAGAAAAAACCTCAAGTAGTTTGGACAATGGACTTGCACCGCAAATTTGTTGCAGCTGTTAATCAATTGGGCATTGGCAAGGCCGTACCTAAAAGGATTCTAGACATGATGAATGTGGAGAAGTTGACTAGAGAAAATGTGGCAAGCCATCTCCAGAAATATCGGCTTTACCTAAAAAGGATTAGCTGTGTAGCGAGTCAGCAAGCTAATATAGTTGCAGCTTTAGGGGGCGCAGATTCTGCCTATTTGCAAATGAGTTCTCTGAACGGATTTGGAAATTATCACAGCATGGCTGGTTCTGCACAGTTTCAGAACGCTACTGTTGGGTCGTTCTCGTCTAGTGGAATGTTGGGTAGATTGAACACTCCAACTGTTCTAGGTTCATGCGGCCTGTCTTCGACAGGAATAATTCAGAGTAAGTTCCAGCCAATAATCAAAATGGCAATACATTTCAAGGAATGCCAACATCACTGGAATTTGATCAACTACAACATAACAACGGTGTCGAGCACTTTGGAGATCTATCCACTAGTACTAATGATTCAATGGTTTTCCCCATTTTCGGTGACTTCTTAGATACAAACATAAATGGTAGTACCTTAGTAGCAGGAATCGTGGGAAGGGGAGACAATTCTTGTCTAGAATTGCGATTCAACGATTCGTAGCAAGAATTGTGTTAGAATCGCATTCCCATTGAGATAGAACCGCGGATCTAACTGCTTGGGAACGCTCCAACTAAGGATTTGTGTTTCACGGCAACAACAAAGAAGAGAGAGAGAGAGAGCATGGAAAAGAAAAACCTGATATAGACTTGTGATTAGGGCTACGAAAATGGAGATCGCGTTGTCTTCTTCCATGTATTTGCTTCTCAAGCTTTGATCTTCATCTTCTTATTCTTCATCTCTCAAGCTTTGTGCTTCGCAGGTGCCTTCTTCTTCTTCTCATCAGGCGTCGTCTTCTGCTTCTTCTTCTTCGTCTCTCTCTCTCTCTCTCCGTTTGAGACTGAAAAGTCTTTTAATACTTAAATTTCTTATTTTTCATTTATATAAGTATAGATTTTATATTATAAATTAACATCTTTTTCATTTAATTCTAGTTGTGTATTAATGTCATATTTATACAAAATGAATTTTAATTTAACCCTTCTCTTTTTACAATTAATGAAATCTGCCTTGCTGGTTGTGATTGCACAAATATATATAAATTCCACCTAACTAATTTATTATCTCGTGTTGGCTAGCTCAAAAAATGAATGTTTAAAATGAATATTTATTTATGTTTAAAATAATGTTTATTTGTTATTTATTTTTAAATTTTTTATGTTGTGTTTAATTAATTAGATATTATATAAAATAAAAAAATAATATAAATATTTTATAATAAATGAAAAAAATCTAATAAAAGTATATAATTATAATATTTTAACATATGATTTTTTATACTTCTTTTTTTTTAAAAAAAAATTTGTAACATATATTTTCATTATCGGTAAAGAAAAAAAAAATATAATCTCACAATATATTTTTATATATTGTATTATTTAATATATTTACAAACGCTCCCTACCAATGATTCTTGGAATGTCTACAATTCCCCGCTACTGCTCACGCTTTGTGCAACTAAGGTGCTCTATTAATTCTGACATTCATCAGAAATCTGGATTTAGCTTGTTTATTTGCTTTGGAATGCTAGTGTATATGTGGAAAGGAGACAGCCAAATAATGCCTGTTGGTCCTGACTATAGGGTCTCCCTCTCCTCTCTCTCTCTCTCTCTCTCTCTCTCTCTCTCTCTCTCTGATCCTCCTCCAAATTTGATATTTACTTCACCATTTCGGCCATCACCGCCCTACTTTCTTCACCATCGAATCCAAAACTTTAAGATCTAGTTTCAGATCTCCTCACAGTCCGAAAGCCGACGCTGGATAATGCGTTTGCTTCATGCTAAGCAACCACCTCAACCTTAATATTCTATCATGACCATCGAATGTAGAGTTTTTAGATTCCAAGTTGAAGGTTGCAGAGTAGTGGAGTTTTGGATGAGTTTGGTGATGAATTGAATCTGATTTTTTCTATTTAATTTTTTTAATTTTTAATTTGTTAATGTAACAATCATTTATGTGTGGAGATTTATTTTTCTCCCTTGTGATAATCTTTTCTCCTCCTCTATGGAGGCTTCATCCTTCCTTCTATGGAAGTTTTTTTTTATCTCTTTTTAAGATCTATAATACTATTGTATTAGATTGAACCGATTTTTTTGTCAGTTTTGCAATGAAAATTTTCTTCACAACCTAAAAAAAAATTTATGGTCCAAAAGGGTATGTTGGAATGTGTCCCACATCGCTTGGAGTTGCCCCATCTGTGCTAGTTATAAAGCTCTAGTTTCCCTCTCCTTAAAACTTAGGTTTTAAGGAGAAGTGTGGGCTGAGCTTTTCAACTTGGTATTAGAGCTTGGTTAAGCGTGTGACTGGTGGGCTATTTGTCCAGTTAGTGTGTGTGTTATGGTCCAAGAGGGTGTGTTGGAATGTGTCTCACATCACTTGGAGTTGCCCTATTTGTGCTAGTTATAAGGCTCTAGTTTCCCTCTCCTTAATACCTGGGTTTTAAGGAGAAGTGTGAGCTGGACTTTTCAACTTGGTATCAGAGATTGGTTGGGCCTGTGACTGGTGGGCTCTTTGTCCAGCTGGTGTGTGTTATGGTCCAGAAGGGTGTGGTGGAATGTGTCCCACATTGCTTGGAGTTGCCCAATTTGTGCTAGTTATAAGGCTCTAGTTTTTCTCTCCTTAAAACCTGGGTTTAGGTTTTAAGGAGTGTGGACTGGATTTTTCAACTGATATCAGTGTTAGAGAATGCTCTAAAAAAATTTTATCCAAACCTAAAGTCTAAAAACTTTGCTGTATAAAAAAATTAATAAATATTTAGCAATTTTCTTCAATTATTTCCAGAACAATTCTGAGAATTACTCAATTTAATGCAACAGGTCAATAAGAACACAAATTTAAATTGTTTTATACCCAAGCATTTATATATAAAAATTACTTGAGTATTTATGTATAAAAATTACTGTCTTCACACTTGTAGTTACTTATGGCCTTTGGCTTAACCCATTTACAATTTGCTTCCTCCTCTTGATCACACTCATTATATACTAGAAGGGGGGGGCAAGAAGGTACCTGTAACAAAATATGCATTCTCATAATCTGAGTTGAGGATCATTACAACATCATCAATGCTTGAAACTGAAACTTCATATCTCTGCACGTCATTCACTATATCCATTCTGCAAATATTTGAATAAATAGATTATAAAGAAACAATTGAAATGTACCTGTATTTTCTGTAAATGGACTATTCCACAAATTGAAACACAATACCAATAGAATGTTACATTGTATGTTAAAAGTGAAAGGAGGCAGAGGACGGCTCGGAGGGAGAGTACGATTTTGGGACTCGTTCAAAATTTACTCTCAAAATTTTGGGAAAACCCCAAATATCACAAACAGCATCATCTATACTACTATATAAGGCAGAGGCTGGACTTGGTGTCCAGAAGCTTTTGCACAAGACTCGAAACCAAGACGGTCTAAAAAAATAGGCTCTTACCACTTGAGCAATGCACATATCATGATAATAATTTCATCTTTTATTTTTATTTGTACTTACTTAAATTGCACATGCATCGCATGTGTCAACCACTAGTTGATATTTATCTAAGGGGAAATTACCCTTCAGTGATAAACTTATTACAGATTCATGAAAAAGTTTATAATTTTAAGTATCAATATTTATAAAGTTTATCCCTTATTTGTAATAATTTTTCAATACATACACTGAACTGAAATTTCCCCTTTATTCAATAGCTCTTTTTTTTTTTTTTACTATGTACCTAGACACAATGAGGAAAAATTAGAGAATGGACAACAGGCATAGGTTTTATTTTCTCATCTAGAAATGTACTTAAAAATAGCTCATGAACAGGCTATGAAAAAAAAATTAATCTGGGCACTACCAAAGCTCATAAACGGGTATCTAAAAACCATTTTCAAACAAATCAAAAATACCCTAAAGTCAAGGAAGCTATCCTAATTTCATTATTAAACAAATTCTCATATTACACATATATAGAAAACACTGACAACTGAAACATTACAGATAATTACAAAAGGAAAAATGTATGCATATGTACCTGTCTTGGCCGGAGGAGAAAAGCCTGAGGAGCTCTGTCAGTCCGGTGACCGCGATTTTCAAGAGCAGTGAAATAGGCTCTTACCACTTGAGCAATGCACATATCATGATAATAATTTCATCTTTTATTTTTATTTGTACTTACTTAAATTGCACATGCATCGCATGTGTCAACCACTAGTTGATATTTATCTAAGGGGAAATTACCCTTCAGTGATAAACTTATTACAGATTCATGAAAAAGTTTATAATTTTAAGTATCAATATTTATAAAGTTTATCCCTTATTTGTAATAATTTTTCAATACATACACTGAACTGAAATTTCCCCTTTATTCAATAGCTCTTTTTTTTTTTTTTACTATGTACCTAGACACAATGAGGAAAAATTAGAGAATGGACAACAGGCATAGGTTTTATTTTCTCATCTAGAAATGTACTTAAAAATAGCTCATGAACAGGCTATGAAAAAAAAATTAATCTGGGCACTACCAAAGCTCATAAACGGGTATCTAAAAACCATTTTCAAACAAATCAAAAATACCCTAAAGTCAAGGGAGCTATCCTAATTTCATTATTAAACAAATTCTCATATTACTCATATATAGTAAACACTGACAACTGAACCATTACAGATAATTACAAAAGAAAAATGTATGTATATGTACCTGTCTTGGCCGGAGGAGAAGAGCCTGAGGAGCTCTGTGAGTCCGGTGACCGCGATTTTCAAGAGCTGTGGAGTTTGGGTTGGCTTTGGTTTGTTGTTGTTGTTGTTGTTGTTATTGGAGCAGCATCGGAAGCTATGAACTCTCTGCAATTTCAAATAACGCTTCAGATAAATAGTAGTGCATAATCAAAGAACGCAAATCGCACACATATTCTCGTTATCTGAATGAATGATAGTAAAAAAAAATTCTGACTATTACACTTTTGTGTTGTAGAGTTGGATATGGGCATACATAGCAACACATTCCCGCCATTTCCCTTCCTAGTTTCTCGCCTTTATTCTCTCTCGCGCCTTTATTCTCTCTCTCTCTCTGCAAAGGAAAATGTCTCTGGAAAATCAATTTTTATTCTGCATCAGCAAAATCCATTTTGTGCTTAGCTCACTTGTAAAAAGTCAAAAATAAAAAAATAAGGGTAAATTATACTTTACACTTCTGCACTTTACACAAAATCTCACTTTAGTCTCTACGCATTAAATTGTGACACTTAATCCCTTGCACTTTTGGTCAAGTGTCACATTGGCCCTTCTATTAATAGTGAGGCTAACAGAAATTATCATTTAGAGAGCTAAGTGTCATAATTGTGATGTCTAAGGACTAAAGTGGAAATTGTATAAAGTGCAGGGGTGCAAAGTGTAATTTATCCTCACATATTTTTCATGTGACTAACCTCTGTTAACATTGAGGCTAACAGAAGGGCCAAAGTGACAATTGACCAAAAGTGCGGGGGATTAAATGTCATAATTTGATGTGTAGGGACCAAAGTGGGATTTGATATAAAGTGTAGAGTGCAAAGTGTAATTTACCCAATGAATAAATAGGGCCTGTAAATGGATCCGATTGGGATGTGTCAAAATCCAATTTGATTCAAACAAACTTGAATCCAGTCCGAATCCTTTTATTTCATATTAGATCACTCGAATCTGAATTCGATAATTTTGGATAGCCTATATGATAATAATCGATTTATTTTATTTTTTATTTTTTTTGAGATATAGTTTTATATAATTCGAAAAAAAAATTAATTTGCGTTTTTTTCATTCAAATTAAGAATAATCGGATCAGATTTTTACATATCCGATCGGATTTAACGGATTCGAATTATCAGATTGTTGAGTCAGATTTTTGTAAACGAGTTCAAATTTTTGAATCTAATTCTGATTAAATCCAATCTATTGATAGTCCTACTGTGAGCCCAGCAAAATAAAAATCAAACAAAATTTTGAAGGAGTTTTTTTTTTAAGGTCTCTCGTATTAAGATTTTATACCATAAAGGGCATCTAATATTTTCATAATGTCTAAGGTCCCTCAAGTTGATCCAGAGAAAATTGGTCCAGGGAAATTTCATCTAGAGAAATTTTGTCCGGGAAAATTCTGGACCAGAGAAATTCTGGACTTCCAAAGAATTTCTCTCGGTTCAACCCAGAGAAAATTCAAATTTCTCTGGGTTCAGTTTGACCAATTTTAAAACCAGAGAAAATTGATAAATTCTGGACTTCCCAAACCTAGAGAAAATTGACTTCACCAATTTTACTCAGTTAAAAGTAGAGAAAATTAAACAAATTTCTCTGATTTTGTTTTATTGAAATTTCACTGAGTTGTCTCAATAAATTTCATTGAGTGTACCAAACAAACAAACGGTATCAATACATACACATGACTTCATCAATTTTACTCACTTAAAGGCAGAGAAAATTAAACAAATTTCTCTGAGTTTTTTTTATTGAAATTTCACTAAGTTGTCTCAATAAATTTCACTGAGTGTACCAAAACAAACAAACAGTATCAATACATATATATATATATACATATGACTTCACCAATTTTACTTAGTTAAAGGCAGAGAAAATTAAACAAATTTCTCTGAGTTTGTTTTTTTGAAATTGTACTTAGTACAATTATTTTTTTCCCAAGTCAAAGACACAAAGACACTTTCAACTAAAAGACAAGCTCTCAAGTTCTAAACTCAAAGACAGAAACACACTACTGCAATAACCAAACCAGCAAAGCACACAACAACATTGAGTGCACGGTGAGGCACAACATCGGAAGCTTGAACCGATGCATCGGTACTACTAGCCGACTCGTCGCTTACTGGAGACGGAGCCTTCTTCACAGGCTTTGATGGTACCAGAGCAGGCGAAATAGAGACAAAAAAAGACAACGGAAGCAGCACTCTGTCCACTTGATACACCGCCAGCTGGTTATCGGAGTACACTGTACCGGTCACTGTGGTGTTAACAATCCCAGTTCTGATGTTCACCAGATTCCCTGCCGTGGTCACATTCATTGGGTACTGAACAGTATTTCCAGCCTGTGTGCTCAACGAATTGCTCACTATTTGAAATGTAGGAATCGAAAGGAAAGAAAGGATGACGTGAAATTTCACTAGCTGGACCTTTTGCTCGTCCGAGAAGGAGTTGAGAGTACCAGTTGAAAGGTTGTCGAACGCAATGTCAAAGTAGTCACCCCCACAATGTCCACCACCTCATCTGGCAGTGAGGACAACGTAGCTTGAATAGCTTCCTCTGGTTTCACTTTACCTGAAACAATGAAGGCTCTGCAGAGAAAATCAGATCACAAAATAATAACAATAATTTAGATGCCATTCAAAATCTCCACAAATATATATAATCAAGTCAATCAACAAGTTACCTAGAAAGAATCAACAGAGAAAATGGCACCGAATAGTTGAGAGACAAGTCAAGCCAATCACGTAGCTGCAAGAACGGAAGACCAGATGGTTTGAGCTTGTGTTCTTCTACTATTGCTGAAGCAATGGATTCAACAATCGGTTCATCAAAGAAGCTTCGGTCCGAACTAGGGTTTTAGACGCCATTTTTGGGTGAGAATGAGAGAGGGGTTTTGGTGCGCGGAAAGAGAGAAGAGAGTTGGATCTTGGAGTGTCTGGTTTCGATTGACTTTGTCTATCTCTTCTCTCTAGGGTTTCGAAGAGAGAGAGAGAGAGGAAATGCTGCTTTGCAGTAGAGAAGGAGAGACAAATAGTCAAATTTCTCTGATATATGTTTAGGGACCTTAGACATCAAAAAATTATTTTGTGGATCTCTTCCATTACGAAAAGTGGGAGAGGGACCCTAGACTAATTTTTCCAATTTTGAATGGGTCTGATTAATTGAAAAAAAAATACAAATTGAGTTTTACAATATTTTATTTGTCTCAATGTCACTTCTTTAAAGAAATTAATTTTTGCAAAAGTTAAAAAAAAAAAAAAAAAAAATTCAAGATTTAACCTTAAAACAAGATAAATTTGAATTTTTTATTTTATCAATTTAAAAACTAATCTTTTGAATTGTTTTCAATTTAAATTATTTGTCTATTTTCTTTTAGTAAAAATTGACAAAAAATATTGTATTTTATTCATTAAATTCAACAAAAAATCGTATTTTAAACATTTTATGTACACTAAGTGTTTGATAAAGTTGAGAACTGAATATTAAAAATTAAGTATTAAAAACTAAGTGTTAAATTTTTTAAGCTAAAAAATTGTTTGATAAAAATTTAAATACTAAACTAAAAATAAATTATTTGATATATACATAATCAAATTTAAAATTTATTATTTTTAAATTGTATATTTTAATTTTTATATTGTAATGGTAGTAGTAGTGGTAGTGGTGGCATGGTAGTAGTAGCGATAGCATTGGTGGCGGTGACGGTGCTAGCGGTAGTAATGGTGGTGGTGGTGGTAGTAGTGGCAGTGACATGATAGTGATGGTGGTTTATAATAGTATATATCGATACTTGTGTTTAGTATTTATGAATTCAATTACATTAAATAAGTTTCATATGATTTTAAATTTTCTTAAGTTTTAACCTACATTTTAAGAGACGCTTAAATTTTTAAGCGATATCAATTATGATTATAAAACGGATTTAATTAATTATCACTTAATACATTCAGTTTAAGTGTTGAATCATGTTTTCAAACACCTCTAAAATATTATTTTCTTGTCAATTTTACTTAACGGAAATAGATAGATAATATAAATTGAAAACAAATCAAAATATTATAATTTAACTTAATAAAAATAAAAATTCAAAATTTATTTTATTATTAAGATCAAACCTTAAATTATTTTTTTTCATTTTTTTCTGTATATTTTAAAAGTAACCTAGTGTTGAAACATAAGTACTTAAAATGAATGGCATTTTAATTATAAACCCATACATGTTGTATTATTTTTGTATTATATAGTTGATGCAGGGTGTATAATTAAAATAATAATGTTACGGATCCAAATATAAAAACTTAGAAATTATCTAGAATTTCACATCAATGGCTCGGATTCATTTCATATGTAGACCACACACTTTATCAATTCAATCTCCACGACACATACTAATTTAAGGGTAAATTCTGAGTCCAGAATTTTGGACCTTAGTTTTTTTGTAATTAAAATATCATTTGCTTCAAATGCTTATGTTTTAACATTGATTTTGATTTTAAAATTTATTTTTACAATGAAGTGATTTTGAGACAAATAAAAAAAATTATAAAACTCAATTTTCATATAATTTTGTACTTTTCCTTCTTTCTTTCTTTTTTTTTTTTTTTTTATTTTTTGGGGGGGGGAGAGGGGGTAAAATAGGGGCTGAAGCCAAGAAACAACATGCTAATCACAATAGGGATCAAAGGAAACAATAACCTTGTCTATCTCCCTCAATCAAACTAGACAAAGCCAAAGGATTGAAATAATAAATTCTCGCTCAATAGATCGATGAAGGGCATTCTTTACAAGAAAATCTGCACACCAAATAATGTGAAGTTCATAAAGCCAATTTCAAGCCACCGTATCCCTGATAGCTTGACAAATGTTGAAATACAAGTGGACCATGCTTGAGGAGTTAGGGCCATTTTGGAAAGTAATAAAAAAGCCGATTTATTGGCTAATTTAATTCACATCATCTCTATATTTTTTTTTACATATTTTTTAACAAAAGCCAATAAACTAATTTTTTTTTCAACTTCCCAGAACAAGCCTTAATTGCATGGATTCCATCAGCACAATCAGAATTAAGAATCACCTTCCCATTCCCCATGTTCCACACCAATTGCATGTTGGAACATTTTAATAATATATTTATATATATTTAAATGTGTAATACAGTTATATGAATTATTAAAGAGATGTGACTTTTGAGTTTAAATCAAATGGTGTAATCATTAAGTTTAAACAAAAATGTGTCTTTTGGATTTAAATCATAGGATGTAACTATAATTTAAATCAAAAGACATTACTCTTGGATTTAAAGGGTATCACTTTTGAATCTAAGGACACAACCTTTGGTTTATGGGACAAACTCATGCCTATATAAAGGCAGAATAGATTAACAATTG